TCGTACACCAATCGTTGGAATTCTTCCCTGCAACCTTGGCTCTTGCCACTTCGTTTGACTTTAACGGAATCATCAGGCAAAACAAATTAAGAGCGAAATAAAAGAAAACGGTTCGCTAAAATGCAAATATAAATGCGCAAAAAATGATATTTAATTATGGCTGTAGCCCTTCCATCCAGACTTCGCAGACACTGCTAACTTTTCCATTTTCCTCCATTTTGAATAAATTTGCATTTCTCTTGAGCCAGCGCAACAATAAAAAGCGCGCGGCAACAGCAATAACAACAGTAATAAGAGGCAATTGAAAACTTTTGCATAAGTCGCAGCGACCTAAGTGAGTTAAAACCCAAGCGGAAGTTGCTAAACGTATTTCTTAAAGGCAGTGATGCCTCCGCAATTGGGAACTCAAAAAAAAGCCAAATTAGGAATTACTAAGTAGCTCTTATATACACATATATATGTTCGTATTATAATAGTTTAACACTTATGATATCTGTTAATGGGTCCATTCTGTTTACTTTTGTAGAAAAATTCGAACTTTTTTTTGCATTTTTCGATAGCTACAAGTGTCTAGAATATCTTACTAAAAGGGCAAATCGAAATACGTAATAGTTTAAAAGTTATGAGCCTCCGAGCCGACCGACATACATAAAACTTTAAACGCGTTTTCTGGAAAACTACATTTTTCGAGCTGGCGACAATCATATTTCAAATTTTAACGAATCTTAAAGTTTTTTTTAATACATTGGATTTTTTATCGACAAAAAAGTGAAGAAAATGTGCCATTTTGTTATTTTTTTTATCCAATTTCGATAAAAGTAGTCTATTCCATAATTACACTCCTACTAAACAAGAAAATTTTTGAATTTGTTGTTTTAGACGATTTCTTTAGTCGCCAGCGGGGTTCCTGCATGCATCAAATGCATCTAAATTTTTGTAATTGTTACAAAATCATCTTTAAAATATCAGGAATACACCTGAAAAGTTTGAAGTACCCATGTTTTTTTCTTTGTCCAAAAAAAAATTCCGGAAGATTGCCTATTTTTTAACACAACTAACCAGAATGGACCCTTAAGTTTTCCAGAAATCTCAGGCAATTAAGGTATATTTAAAACCACTGTGGAATTTATATGCATTACTTAGCTATGCATATATATATTATTTAAATGACAAAGTGAATATAATTGTCGATAGAAATTTTTGGGTCGAAAATATCTTTGTTTGCAACACTGATACCTCGGCTCAAGGAGATGCTCCTCGCCTGCCCCGAGGAAAAGTCATTCAGTCGGCAAACAACCAAGGCGGTAAAGAAAATTGAAGTTTCATTTGTTTTACAAGCACAATTATGAGCTATGATCACTTCGCAAAAGCGATTTTTTCCCCAAAGAGAACGAGAAAATCATTGTCGGGAAAAGTTTGCAAGTTAAGCCGGGATGTATTCTAACATCTGCAGAGCACTGAATCAGAAAGATACTTAACCGTATTCCATAGATAAGCGCTATTTGAACGCTAAATAATCAAACAGTAAAAACGCTACACAAGATAAAGAGAGATTATCCAACTCCTTCCTTTTTTACTGTGTTTTGAATTACGTTAGGCACTTTGCTTTTGTTGAACCCTTGTTGGTGGCTTGTTTGTTTATTTGTTTGCGTTTCAACAACCGCGAAACTTTACCCAAATAGGGATGTGGGGTGCTGCTGATGAGGTTGCGAACACCTTGCGGCTAGCAAGTGCATTCCCCCGCCCTTCCTATTCCACCAGAATCCACACCAGCCCAGCCCAGTCCATCCCAATCATTGACGCCATCCATTGTCAACCGGCTTTTTCAGCCATGGCAATCAAATGGCGTTTTCGCTGGCATACCCTTTCACGGGGTGGCTATATGTGAAAAGTGAACATTTACGTTCTAATAACATATGCTAAAAGCTTAAAAATATCGATTTTTCTGAGGATTTTTTTGGGAAGGAAAGAAATATTCGATTGAAACGAAACTTTCAGGTCTTATGGTTATATATTTTAACAGTCTTCTCAAATTTTTTCATTGAAATATATTATATTATGCTTGGTACAATCATTTCGCCGAGGCGCCTCTAGTGTGCACGTGACGTGCGGCGGGAAAGATGCAGGAAGCAATTTCCATCTGAAACAAAGAAAGACAACAAATTTTCTATTTGCAATCATATAGCTCCTAGTTAAACCAAGAAAATTGAACAAAAAGTGATAAATTCAAATATTTTTCGAAAATAAGGAAAAAACATTTCCTTAGAAAAAAAATGTACTTCAGATTGTTTGAAAAGTGGGTTAATCATAACTTTCTTAAGGTTTTTTAAGTTCAACTAGAATAGAATTAGTCCTGAATACAATAAATTGTGACTCGCTTCGATAGGACGTTTAATTTTCCCTATCTTTCCCGCCAGTTAGGAAAAATCGTAAAAATTCAAAACCGAGAAATCGCACGTCAAAGTTTTTGTATATAAAAAATCGTAACGCTTGCTTAAGCCCTTTTTCGTAGTGGTATAAAATGGTTCTTAAACAAAAGTGAAAAGTGGTAATTACACCTATTAATACATATAACTGCCAATTCTGCTAAGATCAAGTGAGTACATATTTGGATAGGTTTTTAGGTTTTTTTTTTTTGTTGAGCATTGATTAAAGGGAATTCGTAAGGTAATTGCACTTGTATCCTGCTGGTATTATTAAAAGGTGTAGAATATCTCAGCTTCGTTGTGACCCCCGTTGGCCCCCCTCCTCCTTTCCTTTTCAGCGGCCTTCATTCCGCTTTGTATTTTCGCATTTTCGATTTTAAATGAAAGCAGCGGCAGAATGTCGCTGGCGAATGCAAGTCACGGCCAACAATGGCACCACCCAGATCGCGAATCCCAGGGAATGCGCAGGTGTGTGCTGGAAAACACGCTAAACCCGGCTGACGTTAAGCGATTTTCGAATGAATTCAAATTTGCCATTGTTGTTGCCCGAATCGTTTACCTTTTGTGGCGGAAAGGATGCTCAACGGTGGGTGTGGCGAAAGCGAGTGTGTGCAAACAATTTGGCGGATTAAATGAGTCCCAGATGAGACGTTTTTATGTCCGACACACTTTATGCAACATCATAAAGTCCACTGCGGACTTAGCGGTATTGCGCTGTTTTCTAAACCGCTGCTTAATTCTCCACCGATGGCTGGGTCTTTAGCTCCAAAATGGAGTGCTTTTCAGCAAACCCCAGTGCCATTCCCAGGCCTGGTGATGTCCAAAATTAAGTTATTTCTTTTCAATATTGAATTTATCAGGGCGACATGAGACGGCGGCCATACGTGTCCGGAATAGATATGCCACAAGCACAAGTGGCAGCGGGCCAACAGACAGACACCCGATGCCAGGGATTAAAAGTGTCGCTTGTATTTAAATATCCAATTGTCTCACGGACGAGGATGTGAAACATTAAAAAATGCGCTGTCTTCCGAAAACCCCTGTCAAAGATGAGTATCCGAGGCAAATTCGGTTATTCAATTGGTTTGTTGCCTAGTAAATGACACCCGATGGTCTTTGAATTTTAAAATAAGGAATCCAAGGTGTATTCCAGGACGTGTTCGGAAATTTTGGCGAGGGTGGATTTGGTTTGGTTTTCATCCCAAGCCCATTATACTATTTCAGTCTTCCCACTGAGTTTCACCCACAAATGGGTGCGATTGTTATTTACATTCTTTTGGGCTGCATTTGCTTTTATGTTGGTGGCAATTTATTCAAATTGAGACATTAGACAAATTAAATTTACACGTCTGCCCTCTCATTGTTACCGCCTGTGTAATTATGACATTATTCAAAACAGGAAATTAGCATTTTGTTATACAAATAAACATTTACGGTTATTCTTCTCGGTTATGTTATGAACAATCCAATTGAATATCATTGTGTTCGGAAAACAATATGCTAACTGCTTTTACAATGGCATCCAAAAAGTATGCTGTAGCTTATTGGTTCTTTATTTTTCGAATTATTTCGTTCCATCAAAAATATATAACACTTAAATAATACAAAGTTGTATTTAAAGCTCTTTAACAACTCATTATATTTATACCCTTGCAGAGGGTATTATAATTTTGGTCAAAAGTGTGCAACGCAGTGAAGGAGACATCTCCGACCCTATAAAGTATATATATTCTTGATCAGGATCACCTCCTGAGTTGATATAGCCATGTCCGTCTGTCCGTCTGTCCGTCTGCCTGTCCGTCTGTCTGTCCGTCTGTCTGTCCGTCTGTCTGTTTCTACGCGAACTAGTCTCTCAGTTTTAAAGATATCGAATTGAAACTTTGCACACACCCTTCTTTCCTTTGCACGCAGTATATAAGTCGGAACGGCCGGGATCGGCCGACTATATCCTATAGCTGCCATATAACTGAACGATCGGAAATGCCATAACTTTGGTGTTTGTAAAGTTAGGAAGTTGGGATTTTCTATGGGTTTTGTATTTGGCTAATCAATCCGACATGCCGAATTTCATAAGGATCGGCCGACTATATCCTATAGCTGCCATATAACTGATTGATCGGAAATGCCATAACTTTGGTGTTTGTAAAGTTAGGAAGTTGGCATTTTGTAAAGTTAGGAAGTTGGCATTTTCTATGGGTGTTATATTTGGCCAGCCAATCCGACCTACCAAATTTCATAAGGATCGGCCGACTATATCCTATAGCTGCCATATAACTGAACGATTGGAAATGTCATAACTTTGGTGTTTTTAAAGTTAGGAAGTTGGGATTTTTTATGAGTATTAAGAATGCATCATATGAATAATTTTGGAGAATATAATTTACAGAGTATTCTGCAAGGGTATATCAACTTCGGCTCCGCCCGAAGTTAGCTTTCCTTTCTTGTTAATAATGAAACGGTTCTATGGAGGAGCCTAAATTATTCATCGCAGAACCACCCAAAAAGTATGCTGGGCTTTTCTGGGTTTTGATTGTTTTCAACAAATCACTATCATTTTGTACTTTCAGATGTAATACAGCTTTTTCAAATCCTTCCCTTTAAATTTTTATTATTAATTAACTAAATCCTTGGTATTGTCCAAATTCTAAGTAACAAAGCTGCGATGGACGATGTCCGGACATTGCGATACGACATCCAGTGGGATGTTTTCGAGGGGATGCAAATAGTCGACATAAACTCAAAGCATGTTCAGCCCAAGTAAATTAATAGACCATAGTTTATATTGCCAATTATTTGCAGGTACTACGACATGGTGATCGAGTTTATGTGGTCCCAATCGTTTTTAAAAAGCCTGGTGTACGAGAGTCTCGGTCTGTTCGATCTGCCGGACATGAAAGATACATATTCTAGGTAATTTGAAATTGTTTAGTAACTCTCTACATCTGGATTCAAATTAGAAATGGCTAAGCCTAGCTTATGAATTTAGGTTCAAAGCAATGAATTGTAATTTTATATGTAATTTAAGATATGTGCTCCACATCCTGCGAAACGAGTGCTCGGTGATGATGATTAGCGAGGACGAAACGCAAATAATAGCAGTAGGCCTGCTCGAATGGATGACCGAGGAATGGCACTCTTGGTTCGATCAACAAACATACTTCGATCAGCCTAGCCATTCACAAACATGACCTCATTTCTCGCAGGGTGTTCTTTCCCTCGTCGATGCCCAGGAATCTGTTCCAGCAGATCATCATGATGAAGAAGGAGCTCATCGATGCGACCAAGGCGAACCTGGGCATCTCCACCTACGACTCGCTGATGGTCCACGAGATCGCCTTCCCGGAAGATCTGTACTTCAACAAGGACTTCCTGATGACCATTTTCGATGTGTTCGGCTTCGTGGCCCAGCACATGCACATGCCCCGCGTGAGCTTCATTGCCCTGAGCTCCGTGGACCAGGAGGCCACCAGTCTGATCGAGTACGACGAGATCGGGCGCACCATCTACTCGATCTACAAGGTGGGCAACACCCGGCCCTTCGACATCCTGCGCGAGCTGGACGAGATGTACGCGCTGCTCTTTGAGCTGCCCGTCAGCCCGATCCTCAAGTACGGCGACATGCCCGGCTTCGAGGAGTTCCACGAGGCCCTGGAGGCCAGGTTGGCCAAGGAGGAGGCCGAGAAGCGACACGACGACGACTTCTGAGCTGTCTCTGTGGCGCCCATCTCCCATTTCTGTAGGATCACTCTCAAGACTGCCCTTCCCTCATTTATTGTCTCCTTTGCTAACATTATCTTAATAGCTACAAACTTTAACAGAGCGTATGCATATAAATAACAGGCCGTGTATAATGTGTATTTACAGAGAAGCTTAGTGCCACTATAGGTGTATATTTACAGATATGCTTAGGGCTACTATTAGGTCACCTCGGTTTTATTATTAATATTAGGTATAGATTATAAGTATAAGTTGAAAAAATTCAAGTTTAATGCGTAGTTTTCAGCTTTATTCTGCGTCGTTTTTCTGCTTCCGGCCAGCAGCTGCCGTCTCCGCCGAATGCCTCCTGTCGTATCGCTCTCTTTCTGTTGCAATGCTCCTGTTAATCTGCTGTTCTTCTGCTGTTCTGCTGTTACTGTTACTACTGTTGTTCCTGCAGTTACTGCTACTACTGCTGTTCCTGCTGTTATTCTGCTGATCTTCTGTTACTGCTACTACTGCTGTTCCTACTGTTCTTATTCTCTATTTCTCCTAAACATAATATAATACTAATAGGGTTGCTTAGGCCTGCTACAGTATATCGGTACATTTCTGCCTACTTTTGGGCTCCGCCCTCGAAATTCCCCCAGCCTCCATTCTACGTATATTTAATTGCAGCTACAATCTTGGAGTGCGTTGTTCAGAGGGGTGAGGTAAAGGCACGTTTCCAAACAGGCGGTGATAAGTCTATCAATACGATCCCCGGGCCGTTGCGATAATGATTCCGATTACACTTTAAAAGGTGCTAAGATAATAAAAACGTAGAGAAGTCGATTTGTTTCCTAGCCACATTGAATCCAATTAAATACAAATTAGGGTACCATATTACAATGATGGCATAGAGTGGTAATTCTGATCATTATCTCTATTTTTTAAGTAAGTTCAGCCAGCCATTACAACTTGGAGCCGTTTCTGGCAGCCATGAGGATTTCGAGGACATCGTCGGCACAGCCCCAGCACAAGGTGACCCCACTGCCGCCATGTCCATAGTTGTGGATGAGGAGCTTTCGGCCACGGCGCTCTGCTTCCAGCCGGAGCTGGGTGCGACCTGGCCGGAGACCAACCCAGTCGAAGAGGCTCTCCGTGTGCTCCAGACCAGGAATGAAACGCCGGCAGCCACCGACAATCAGCTGCTTGTCCCTCGGGCAGACCTCAGTGTTGTAGTCCCGCTCCTGGTGAGTTCCGCCCAGGACAACGCTCTCGGTGCTGTGATTTCGATGCTTTAGAAGGACCAGTAAGTCAGCGGAGTTGACCCATACTCACTTCGGTATGATATAGTTTCCATCGTCGCTCTCGTCCAGGACGGCCGAGAAAATCCAGTTCGCCTTCACCCGGGACACCTGTCCGCGCACTGCGTACATGTGGTCGTCGTTCAATAGAGTCCGGGAGCCCAAGCCGGAACAGTTGACTATCACATCGAACTCGGAGTCGGCGATAAATGCCTCCAGGTCTGTAATCCTTCTCCGGAGAACCACACCGCCATTGCGGAGGAATCGCTTCATCAGATACGGAAGTAGCTTCACCGGCTCCGAAGTGTAGGTAACGAAGGACAAGCCCGACCTGGAATTAATTCTATTTTAGCTCAGCGGACTCAGGAATATTGGTATAACACTTGCTATCAAATATTTTCTCGTTCGAAAATTAGATTAAATAAAGAAGTGGGCTTTATTTTTAGACCTAGGTACTTCCAACACTATTGTGCCGATGTAAAAAATATATGTAATATATATATGAGATTAACAGAAGTAATTAAAAGGTTATTTTGGGTAGTGCGATACATATCCTTACGTGAACTTTACACTGCGGCCCTGATTGTAGGCAGCCAGCTGTTCCTGGGACAGATCTGCGGCTCCATACACAATATCTCGCCAGAAGTCTTCAACGCTGTCCACCGTGGAGGTGCTCAGACGAATGCAGGGCAACAGGCAGACCCCCCGCCTCTCCGGCGTCCTCACTCAGCCAGATCTTCTCCAGAAACTGGTGCATGCTCTTCGACCACTTGCTGCTCGAAATAGGGTTATGGGGAACGGGAGGATAGCGGCAGGTACTCACTAGACCTTCGACTGCGAAGTGCCGCCCAGCAGATAGGGGCCCCAGAGTCCCGCCGACCCATCTCCAGTGGTGTTGGGCGTGAAGTCCTCCGATATAATCGTCACTCTTATCGGCGTCTTTCCCTCGCTCACATAGTGCTCCAGTATCTTAATGGCGCTGGCCACGCCGTTCACCCCGGCCCCGATTACTGCAACGTTCGGCATTGCTCCGCTCCGATCTGCTTGGGAATTCACACCGAACTGAAGATTGCGCGGCTTATCAGAATTTTAGGTACGTGGATCTAGAGCCACACTCATAGCAACTGATAACAAAGCTTTCGCGAGAAAGCTTCTCCGATTTTGCATTGCAGTTGCATATTACAGCTGGGAAATGCATATAATAGACACCGGTGATGTCCGTATTTAAATAAGTACCTTAATTTAGCTTAATTTTGTTTCCCAAACTAACCATATCGTTGATTTGGAAGCGAATTAAGCCATTTCATTAAATAGTGGCGAGACTGTGGGAGTTCCTTTGAATCATTTTTAAGTAATGGCCAATAGTTCATTATAACCCATTGAGCCTAACTAAAATTGTTCCCTTGAATCTTTAACCCTTTCTGTTAGTTCCAATGCAAACCCAATCAGGTAAGAAGGAAGCCATACAAGAATTGTTAATGCTCAAGGAAAAAAAAATTTTTAATTTATTAAAATATTGTAAAAAAAATATTTTGTTAAATTCTAAAGAATGCAAAATTTGTAAACTTTAAGATATTGTTTTCTATTTTTATACCCTTGCAGAGGGTATTATAATTTCAGTCAAAAGTTTGCAACGCAGTGAAGGAGACATTTCCGACCCTATAAAGTATATATATTCTTGATCAGGATCACCTCCTGAGTTGATATAGCCATGTCCGTCTGTCCGTCTGTCCGTCTGTCCGTCTGTCCGTCCGTCCGTTTCTACGCAAACTAGTCTCTCAGTTTTAAAGCTATCTGCTTGAAACTTTCCCAAAAGTTGTCTTTCTATTGCAGGTAGTATATAAGTCGGAACGAGCCGAATCGGGCGACTATATCATATAGCTGCCATATAACTGAACGATCGGAAAAGCCATAACGTTGGTGTTTTTAAAGTTAGGAAGTTGGGATTTTTTATAAGTTTTATTTTTGGCCAATTAATCCGACCTACCAAATTTCATAAGGATCGGACGACTATATCCTATAGCCGCCATATAACTGATTGATCGGAAATGCCATAACTTGGGTGTTTGTAAGGTTAGGAAGTTGGGATTTTCTATGGGTTTTATTTTTGGCCAATCAATCCGACCCACCAAATTTCATAGGGATCGGCCGACTATATCCTATAGCGGCCATATAACTGAACGATTGGAAATGCCATAACTTTGTTGTTTTTAAAGTTAGGAAGTTGGGATTTTTTATGAGTGTTAAGAATGCATCATATGAATAATTTTGAAGAATATAACTTACAGAATATTCTGCAAGGGTATTTCAACTTCGGCTCCGCCCGAAGTTAGCTTTCCTTTCTTGTTAAGTGTAGGTTCAAAAGAAATAAACATTTTTAAGTTTAATATTTAGCAAAAAATTTTTTTTTTAATAGTTATAATATTGATTTTTTATAGTTTAATAGTTTTTAAGAAAAAAAAACAAAACATCTTTCTATAAAATTATGTAACTCGTTATGGTAGTTTGAAATAGTTTGATCTGCAGTGATTCAAACATCTGGAATATAGTTTCTAATATTCTATTAGGGCCAGTGAAGGGTAGGCGACCCAAGGACTTTTTAAGGACCTGTGAACAAGTTCAGGAACGAAAGTAGTACCAAGCCATTAAGAAAAATGGTAGTTAAGGTTTGCATCCTAAAGAAATAAATAGTCTTGTCACAAATATATCATCGAATTCCTAGTAGTTGGCCTTGCATGTTAGCTCAAACGGAACCGGATATGGTCTCGGATGTGGGAAGTTAGCCCCATTCGATATCAGACTCTCGGACCCTTCGTTTCGGCTCCTAAATTTACAAAATTCAAAATTTCTTTTCGCAAGTAACTTAGCCAAAATATAGTAAGTGTGGCCAGGACATGTAATAGGTAATAGGTAATGGTATAGGTCTAAATCTGTTGTCCTGCAGCGCTTAAAGGTCTTAGCATGTGTGACGGATGTGGATCGTTGGAGGTAAGTGGCGGCTCCTCCAGCACCTCTTGACCTCTTGACCCCACGTTCCGTTGCAGCCGCGTGGATGCCGCAGTAGGGAGTTGCGATGCGGCATCATGTACACCACCTGCGACTGCGTGAAGCGGAACGGCCTGCAGGACAAGTGTCCGCGGTCCGCCTGCCAGGGCCGACCGGCCTGTCTGTGCTTTCCGTTCCCCACCTGCGGTCCTGCGGCCTTTCCGCTGCGCTACGCCAACATGATGATGGGCGTGAACAACAAGCGGATGCGCTGCGCCGCGACAGGAGCGCCGAACGGCGGTGCATGTGGCGGAAGAGCCGCCGGCGGCTGCTGTGGCTGCGGCCCCTGCTGCTGTAAGGATACGCCCTGCTGTGGCCCCCACAGTCCGCCGTGCGGCGCCCCGTCCCCCATTCCCTGCTCCCCCGCTCCGGGCATGTGCTGCCCCCCGCTCTCCGAAGGCGGTATTCCCGATCCGCGTGTCTGGAATTACTACAACCCATGTAAGTCCGGTCCAGGTCTGCGTCCGCCTCCCCCTCCCCCGTCCCCGTCCGCGTCCGCGTCCGTCCGTTAGGTAATCGTTTCCGAGGAGCGCGAGCCATGCCCGGCGACTGTGCGGGCCACGGTATCTGGAGCACCCTAGGACCCTAGTGACGTCCTATGTCCTCCTGCAGAAGCTCCATCGCACAAGGTTAGCTCGCCACCACAAGGCAGGATCGCTGCAGCCAAATGCCGTTGCTAGGCTCCGAATCCTTGACCTATGACCCCGTCATCCATCCACATCCGGTCGCGTGTAAGTAGTTGTTGCACTTGTGCCCCATTCACGGGATATGACTCATCTCCTCCTGCAGGTGGTTTCTAAGATGCTCCTGGCAACTGTGTCGATCGGATCCTGCCGTGCCACTTCTCTGGCGGGACATATTGTTGTGTGGCGCAGTTTTGGTTGATGATAAATTCGAGGCGGCTTAAATCAAGATGGAGCTCGCTGCGGAACACTCGAGTGCTCAGGAACTTGTGGGAATGCCTTGTGAAAAACGTCTGTCTCGTCTTGATTTAAGCACCAAATCATTTGTAGGTTTTTGGACTCTTTTCTGGCATTAAATTATATAAAATAAATGAAATGTACACATTTAATTTTCATTGAATCTGTGTGCGGTTCTATGCTCTCCCTGCAGTTCTGCAAATTCATCGCTGCACACATTCATTCATTCATCATTTAGGCAGAGCCGACTAACCCGACAATCGTAGCAAATGCAGAAAAAATAGCCCTCGGTCCCCAAAATTTGCTAATGAAAATGGGGATTTACTAATTCACAAACAATAGCGTCGTTGAGAAATTGTTTAGGCCTTTAATAACAATTCGATCAGAGTCGGCCAGCGACAATCTGAAATGCTTGGATCTAAAAGAACCTTCCAATGAGTATCCTCTATATCTAAGCTCAATATGAATAAATTCAATTTACTTAACTGACCTTTCGGCTATCCAAACGGAGGTTATCCCAGGTTTTTTAAACAAATGCAACTGGCAAAGCCCTGTCATTTTCGGATTACTATATGTTGCCCAATATGTTCTAATCACCTCGCCGTAAAGGAGATATCGACGACTGAAATAAAAATGCGTTTTTTTTCTAATTGAAAGACACTACATTTTTCACTGACGACAAGCTTGGTGTTTTTTTTTCCTATCGCAAATATTTTTATACCCTTGCAGAGGGTATTAAAATTTCAGTCAGAAGTGTGCAACGCAGTGAAGGAGACATTTCCAACCGTATAAAGTATATATATTCTTGATCAGCATCGTCGGTCCGTTTCTAAGCAAACTAGTCTCTCAGTTTTGAAGCTATCCGCTTGAAACTTTCCCAAAAGTTGTCTTACTATTGCAGGTAATATATAAGCCAGAACGAGCCGGATCGGGCGACTATATCAAATAGCTCCCATACACATACCATAGAACAATCGGAAAAAAGAATGCAACAAAATTATAACTTTCTTGTTTTATTTATTTTTATGTTTGGTAATATTTAAATATTATGGAATTACGGTTTTAATAAAATTAAAATCGGACAACAATATCATATAGCTGCCATAGAAAGGATGTAAAAAAGGCAGCTCGAAATCGACATAGCTTCATTATTTTTAGTAATATAGGCAAAGAAATCAAAATGTAATAGATTTGTAACAACTGCAAGGGTATATAAACTTCGGCTTTCCGAAGTTTGCTTCCTTTCTTGTTTATTTTGTAATAGTCGAGGAATTTTAAGATTTGCTTTACATATATTTAAAAGGGCAAATCACGTTAATGGTGGATGCGGTGTGTATTATAACTTTGTTCGCCTGGTTAAAGTTTCATCTATCAGTAAAAACTATTTCTGAAGTAATTTATTTATGAAAAAACAGTGATAATAACAGTGATAACAGATATATTTAATAGACCACCGATTAAAAATATTATTTATTTATTACCCGTTTATATTCTTATTTAACACACCACACAAGGATCGATTTTCTTGTAGGTGTATTCTAAAATACCAAAAATTAATGATTTTATATTTTTTTGTTAGACAAGTATGAATTAGGGGGAAATAAAGTATTATTATGAAGGTAATAATGAGGTAAATATGAGGCTTAATAATTTTATTTCTGGCTTTAATTGGTCTGATCTTTACTTATGCAATAATATGTCCGATGCAGTTAATGTTTTTTATACTGCAATAAACTCATTTTTTAATTCCTGTGTTCCGTGGTACTATCCGTCAACTTCCAATAAATCACCTTGGTTTAGCAAAGAGTTGACACACTTAAGAAATGTAAAGTCCAGACTTTTTAGGAAATATAAAAATACCGGTTCTCAATCTGTTTTTACTAGATATCTAAGTACTCGGTCAAGATTTACCGTGCTTAATGCTCAGTGTTATAATAGTTACTTAAACCGTTGTAAGGTCCAGTTCTCTCAGGACCCGAAACAGTTTTATAATTTTGTTAACACCAAGCGTAAATCTAATTCTTATCCTTCCTCGCTGTCGTTCGAAAACATGACGGGAACCACAGATCAGGCAATAGCCGATATATTTGCCCAATTTTTTCAAACGACTTACTCTACTTTAGATTATTCATCTCAGCCTTATTCTTCCACCATGTCCAAGTCAAACCTCATATTCTGTCCCATTTTAACAGAAAGCTCTCTTCTTTTTGATCTTCTTCGTATTAAGCCTGTTTATTCGCCAGGGCCCGATGGTATTCCTGGGTGCGTGCTTAGGTATTGCGCTAAGGCCTTGTGCAAACCTCTTCACAAGTTGTTTACCTTATCTCTAGAAACCTCCCAATTCCCAAATATTTGGAAGGAATCATTTGTTATTCCTCTTCTCAAAAAAGGTAACAAGTTAGAAGCCAGTAACTACAGAGGTATTTCTAAGTTGTCAGCTATTCCTAAGCTTTTTGAAAAAATTATTACTCCTCATTTGCAGCACTTTTGCAGATCAACCATTTCTCCGTGTCAACACGGATTTATAACGGATTATGTAGATCCACAATCACAAACCTTCTAGAGCTCACTTCATTTGTGATAAAAGGCTTCAATAGTAGTTTTCAAACAGACGCCATTTACACTGACTTTAGTAAAGCATTTGACTCTGTAAATCACTTACTTCTCATTCAAAAACTTGACCTTTTAGGTTTTCCAGTTGATCTGCTTAAATGGATTTCAAGTTATCTAAATGGCAGGTCACAAAGGGTCCTTTTTAAAAATTCAATTTCTGAAATTCTCCGTGTTACCTCCGGTGTCCCACAAGGGAGCCATCTGGGTCCGTTACTTTTTACATTATTTATTAACGATCTTCCCTCAATTATAAGTCATTCTCGCGTACTTATGTACGCAGATGATGTTAAGTTGTGCCTGCAGTATAAGGACATTTCCTGCCATGTAGACTTGCAATCCGATCTAGATAATTTTCAAAACTGGTGCCGAGATAATTTACTAAATTTAAACGGCTCCAAGTGCAAGCTGATGACTTTTTATCGGGCCAATCCGATATACGCGACTTACACGTTAAGTGGCAGCTCTTTGGATAGAATAACTCTTGTAAACGATCTTGGCGTTCTCTTGG